GTTTAGTAATAGGGCCCGTCCCTTTCTTTTAATCTTATACTATTTTTTATATCTCCTTGCTGAAGATTTCGAAGCACTTTGTAAAGGTTGTGTCAATTTATGTTTCTCGAAATACCATTGTGAAATGTGTTGGAAAACATCTTGTGTTCAGGGGGATTGTACTTGTAAAGCTATCTTTCAAGGGGTATAGTATTTGTTTGCGATCTGTTTTATTCGTAAGAATTTTGAGAGTATCATACGAGTTGGCGTGCTACCCACGGCTTGCTAATGAAATTGAAAGAAAACGCTCCTTCATTACTCATTAGATTTTTGAACTTTTTGGGGAGTCTTACGGATTAAGTCATGTTAAACAATCAATTTATGAATTTCTTGCAGTGTCGTGTAACGAGTGGTTGTCGAAGTGTGGCTTAACGGGCATAGCTAAAGCTATTGATGCAATTGCTGAATATATAAACGAGGTCTCCCAGACAAAATAATTATATATTTATTTGTCTTTATGCTCTTGTTATAGCTTTGATTGCATAAATAAACGAGATTTATTAATCACATTTTGTCTCACAAATTAGTATAAATATTATTCCTTTCCTAATAAAGGTCCGACTTCACCCGGATAGTGAACTGCATCTACTCGACTAGGGGAAACATAAACTGATTCGAGGCAACCTCGCATCCTGTCTCTTTCTTCTTTTACGTCATGCTTTGTGCTTTCAATTTCCGCCATCCTTCATTCGCTGCCCTTCTTTTTCCTTTCCCAGCACACCTCCTGCGCACTCCTTAAGCTGTTCGCCCTCTTCTCAAGCCTTATGGTTCATCACCTTCCCCCTTCCCGGGCCGCACAAAGAAGAAATAAGTTAGGGTGACACCCATTTGCAATCATTTGGATAAAGTGTAAATATGTATTAGGAATGGAAATCTTTCTATCCAAGTCCCAAGACGTGCTTGAGATCAGCATGCAGAGTTAAATACATATTATACGCTGATATAGTACTGTGCAGCGGAATTGCGATTTTACACCACTATTTCTAATGTCGTCAATCCTAAGGGATGAAGGTGCACGAACGAAAGTTTTTGCGATAAATACCAGAATAGAAGACCCCATAATTGTATTCTGATCGCCCTCGTATTGTCAGAAACTTCCTGAGACTTTTACATAGAAAAATGAAATAGAGGCGTTGGAAAAACGCTCCAGATTGTAAACCGCATGTTACGCCTGTATTGTAAAAGCTCACTCACACTCACACTCACACTTGAGTGCGATTCCAGTGAGCCTGCACACGCGTGGAACACTTGAAGTGTGAGTGAGAGTGGGGTGTGCATTGAAGTGTAAGTTATAGAGTGGAGTGTATGTGTGTGAATGGTCACTCAATGTGGCGACACTCATCCTTGAAAATGTTAGGCAGCTTTCTATTCAATGGCTCACTCGAATGCGACTTGCTTGCCCCGTAAAGACGGGTAAGTTTTCCTTCACAAAAGATTCTTGACCAGTTCACTTGCTCCTGTGTATGGCGAACAAGTTTTTCTTGACAAGTATATGATAATGTATTATGTCGAGTATATTTACGACCATATGATACAATGAGTATAGGGCCGAATCTCAAAACAAACAAAAATGATAAAACTTCCAAAAACCGCTCAATTTGGTCCAAGATATTGTTGCGCAGTCTGCTACTTATAAAGCTGGCATGACTAGCTTTTGAAAAAGGCTTCTTGTCAAGGAAAACTTGTCATTTTTTTCGCGTACACACAAGCAAATAAAACTTGTCTGTACGGGGGCTTAAGGTTTCATGTTGATCAGTAATTAATCATTGAAGGTATATAAACTATTTAAACTGTAGTTAGACTTGTCAATGCGTTCGTAAGACGTTATTCATAAGATGCCTTAAGATAGACAACATTCCTCGGAAATGAAAGGTCGCTCTCGACCGAATAAGTGCGGAAACACAAAGGTCTTTTAGGAAGTAAAAAGAACGATAACAAAGCAAGCAAGCGAAAAAAAAGAAGGGAAGCTTCATCCGATCAATTCAATTTCCAGTCTGGTGTCACAAACAAGGATTCAAAGTCCCGCAACAAAAAACAACTGGCGATGGAGAAGAGAGACACGTTAACTGGTGGTTGTCCTTCGTTGTCGAAACAAGACGATGAAGCTGCAGCTTTTGCTTTTATGGCTACGGCGCAAATACACAGCTTAACTATAATGTATTTGTTGTGACTACATTCCAGCTATATTTGAATAATTATTTGAATCACAAACTGAGCATAAAAAACAAGCGCTGTGTATAAAACTATTATAGTTGGTAAATTATTTAAATACCGGGTGTTGCGTCCCAACGTGGGGCAAAGTGTCAACTGAGAAGAACACGAAATAAGAATAACATTTTTTCGTTCGTACAAAGCCAAGGTGAAATTTTAAAAATCTATGGCTTTACTCCACTCCGATATATAAGTTTAGTTGTTAGCTCCAGCTCCGACCATACAAAAAAGGCTGCCAAGACGAAAATTGCTCTTTTTATATCCTAAGAGGGCCTGAGGCGAGTTAAAAAAAGAGTTCTTACATCAAGTACATAACACTCCTCGCCCAAGGATGGTAAAACATCCTTGCTACAATGGTAAAACGTATAAAACATTCGATTATTGGGTATACATTAAAGTAACGAGTTCGCTAACTGGTCTGTGATAGACTTTTCTCTCTCCATTCTTTGAGATAACGATTTTTGCCTTTCTCACTTTTCCGTCTTCGCTTGGTATCGCTTCAACGACTCTTTCGAGGGGCCATTGGTTACGTGGACTTTGATCGCTCGTGATGACGATATCTCCTTTTCTTATAATTATTTGGCTGTTTATCGTTCCATTTCGTTCTCTTCTGCTGTGTTCTTGAAGGTATTCTCGTTTCCAACGTATCCAAAACTGATCGGCCAAGTATTGTGATCTTCGCCAGTGGCGACGTGAATAAAGATCCTCTGAGTAGGTACCCCCCATACAATAACGGAAGTAATTAGTATTCAAAGGGTAGAACTAAGGGGTACTTCAGTGAACTCTCTATATATGGAAGGCTCGCTCTAGTACATTGCGTAATCTAAAAGTGAAGCCAAACATGGCGGATCATGAGGGCTGCTTGGGTACCGAACCAGACCTCCACGCACGAGCGGTCAAAATTCAATATGGCGGCAACGTGTAGGAGTTGAACTTGGTCAGTTTTGTTAACACAAGTTACACAACACAAATATACGGCATAAATTACCTCTTAGAAAGAATAACATTGCCAGGTAAGGTTGTAACAAATTTTATGTATTCATTATTAAAAATATCGTTTTTTAAAAACTTTGTAACGTCCGAAATGTGAGTTTTTTATTTTTCGTCAAGTTTTATAATTCGTGTTTTGAATTTCCACGCGCGCATTGTACGCTTCGTGGAGGCAGGTTCGGTATCCAAGCAGCCTTCATGATCCGCCATGTTTGGCTTCACACTTTGAACTGGAGCGAGCCTTCCATATATATAGAGTTCACTGGGGTAATTAGTATTCAGAGGCTGATTTTGCCGAAGATATGCGTGGTCTCCACGCAGGGTGAGAGTGTGACGTAACTAAATGGTAATTAAGTAGACAGTAAGGATTTGCGAGAAAAATATTTTATTTGTCAAGTCACATTTAGTACGTCAACATTTTAATAGTATGTTTCTTTCCATAGCATTAGGACTTTTTTTTAAAAGTTCGTTTTCTATGTATATGTTGTGCGATGCTTCCCACCGTTAGTTTATACTTTAATTCATATTTTATCTTAACATGTGTCAATATGTCTATAGCGAATACACGAGCGCCAAATTGTTTCCATGCATCATCAATTTTTATGCTATCAAGACAAGAACATCCATGATTTCATAACGTTTGTCAACGCGCACCAAATCATTCGAAAAAAGCGTTTGTTTGTAAATGTTTGACTTTCATCCCAGATATGTGTCCATCTTTCTTTTGCGAAACGCGTTTATGCATATATATATATATATATATATATATATATATATATATATATATATATATATATATATATATATATATATATATATATATATATATATATATATATATATATATATAAAATTTAGAAAGGTTTTTATAGCAAATCAAGAGTGCACAAGCCGAAGCGTGCTTTATTTAAATTTACTGAGATAGGTATGAGGAGCTACAAGCAATAGTAAATATGTAAGCAATAGTGATATGTTGTCCTGCTTGTAGCTCCTCATACTATCTCAGTAAATTTAAATAAAGCACGCTTCGGCTTGTGCACTCTTGATTTGCTATAACAACCTTTCTAAATTTTGATATTACGCACGCTTAGGCTTGTGCACTCTCGTTATAGTAAATTTTGTATGACAGCTCGCGACTGATTGTCCCGCTCATGTGAATAACACGTGAATGCGTGTTAGTAATAATCCCACATTGGTAATATAATACAATAGCATCACATCTTCATATCATGAATAAAATCTCTTTTTTGTTCGTGTGTTGGTTTCCTTCCTCCTTTTAAACCAGCCGTTGTCCAGTCCCAAGCCTGGAATGAGAAATCGGTGAGGGGAAGGAATATTATTGTATGTAGCTAAAGTGGAATTGATCATGGTAAGCAATAGTGATATGTTGTCCTGCTTGTAGCTCCTCATACTATCTCAGTAAATTTAAATAAAGCACGCTTCGGCTTGTGCACTCTTGATTTGCTATAACAACCTTTCTAAATTTTGATATTACGCACGCTTAAGCCTGGCGCACACTAGAGCTATCACCTTCGCAAAGTTTCACTCGTGACTGTTGGCGTAAGCAAGTTCCCCTAGTGTGCGGTGCCGTTTTGACACCTTTTCGTCACTCGCGCCATCAGCGCCGATTATTCAACATGTTGAATAATTTTTGGCACGAATGACTGTTTCCTCCATGTGTGCGCGCGTGAAAAGCTAACAGCTTGCAATACGAGGAAAATACGCATGCGTGTTCGCCTTCACATTCAAAATGGCGACGAATAGTGTGGTTGCAGAAGCAATGTTAGAAGACCAAATCGCGGATATCTGGCCTGAATATCCCTGTTTGTATGACGTTAGATGTCCGGACTTTAAAAACAGAGAATTGCTTGAACATTCATTTAAAGAAATCGCAGAAAAACTTGGACAAACTGGTAAGTGAAATCATAAATGCCTACACTATCCCTCCTAATTTTTTATTAATCAGACTGTCGCATTTGATATTACGAACCATAATATATAAAACATTTCATTCCCCCAGTTGAATGGGTTAAAGCAAAGTTAAAGGCCCTGCGAAACAGCTACGTGAAAGCGAAAAAACCGGGACCGAGTGGAAGTGCGAGAAGAAACCCAACAAAAAGAACGACATGGTTGTTGGATAAGTTACAGTTCCTTGCTCCTCATGTGGCCATTAGGCCTTCTGTTTCAAGTCTAGACTCTGTAAGTATGCCCTTTATAATATATACGGGTGATGTTAAAGCTACCACCCATTTTTATTTTACTAATAACAAAATATTACATATGTATAATGGACACCTAAAATATTATTTTACATCAGATAACTTTACAACCTAATTATATTGTCTTGCCATGGAACGGAACCACTATTGTTAAAATACTGAGTTAAAACTTCCCTCTGATGTTTTGCATTTCTTGGTGGATTGTGCATGGGGGTTGGTTGTAAACCATTTAAGATTGGATCATTTCTCCATGTTCCAGGTGACAATGTATGGTCTGCACTCTCAAAGTCTCCAGCTGCTGTGTAGTTGACTTTATTCTTGTCTACCATATAGTTGTGCAGACAACAAGCTGCTAATTATATCAGTCACCTTGTCTGGTGAGACCTTTATGGTTGTCAAAAAAACCCTCCATCTATGGGCCAGAATCCCAAATGCATTCTCAACAACTCTGCGAGCTCTTGATAATCTATAGTTGAAAATGCGTTTTTCTTTTTCCAAATTTCGATGTGGGTAAGGCTTCATCATTTGAGTTGTCATGGGAAAAGCATCATCAGCGACAATGTGATAATCAACTTTTGTAGATATTCCTCTGATGGTAGTTGCAGGGGGTATATTTAAGGAGTTGGAAATTAATGCTTCTTTTAAGGCAGAATCACCAAACACTCCAGCATCCCCAGCTCGTCCAGCTGCCCCAACATCAACATAAATAAATTTATAGTTGGCATCAACCAATGCTAGCAGAATAACACTAAAGAAGTGCTTGTAATTAAAGAACTCGGAGCCAGTGCCATTGGGTTGTTGAACTGCTATATGTTTGCCATCTATTGCTCCTATGCAACACGGGTAGTTCCACTTGTTTTTAAAATCCAATGCTATGTGTGACCATTCTTCTTGAGTGTTTGGAGTCTAGGATATAAATATTATGTTGATTTATATAGGTATCTCATGACAATTCACCGTTAGATTCAAGTTTCAGTGAGGCTGGTGAAAATAGTTTTGAAGATTATGGTCAAACACCTGAGCAAACAAGTCCCATAAATGAAGAGGAGGATGAAATAATGGAAGTGACAAGGTCAACCTCTGAGCCCGTGAAACCGAGAAAAAGCACTTCTCGAAAGAGGCAAGCTGATGAGGAGTACCAATTAATAAAAAATCTATCCACCTCTATTGCAGAAAAGCAAAAAAAACAGAAAATGACAGAGGGGAAAAGGGAAACTAGCATGCTAGAAACTTTTGGCATGTATGTAACTAAGGCATTGTCAGAGTTGGATCCCAGAACATGTCATTTGGCACAGAACAAAATAAACAACATTATTTTTGAAGCCCAAGCTGGCCTATTAGTCCAAAATTCTCAACCACCAATGATGATGCAACAACACAGAAATTTTTTCCATCCAATAATTCAAACTGGCATGACAAGTTCAAGCCCTCAACCTTCATCATCATATGCTGAACAGAATTTTATTTCAAAACCAGATGGAGTGACTTCGGCAGTTGGATGGCCAAATCAGAATTAGACTTAAAACTTAGGGGGACATTCTATTAACAAAAGTAACAATTCAAAAACTTTTTTTATTTTATTTGTCTGTACTGACTATGTTTGTTTTGAAAAATTGGAACAATTGCACAATTGATAGTATATATATTTAAATAAAAATTGGTGATAATTAATTACCTTCAAATAATTCCTTTTCATTATTAAGTACAATGCTTGGCATGTTTCCTCAACAATTCCTGAAATGGTCCTTTCGCCAATCCGATACTGAAACGAAAGACTTCTGAAAGTCTCACCTAATAAAATACAGTAAGATAAGCATATTATCCATAATGTATATAAATAGCATCATAAATGAAATAGCCATATTCAAAGGGCAAATCACATAATTTTCACGTACCTGTTGCTAAAAATCGTAATGTTACAGATAATCTTTCCCTCGGTTTTAAAGCACATCGCATTTTTGTGTCCTTCTTTTGAATCAGTGGCGAAACCATGGTCAAAATTTCTTCAAACGATGCTGAATCCAGCCTGTGATAATGCCTAAAATGTTCAGGGTCTTCAAAGCGCAATTCGCGAACAATATTCTCACATGCTCCTTTCATTTGACGACGTTCGATCCAACGTTTCGTCCAGATATTCCTATTGGCGGCCCTCAAGCGCCTCCGTCTGCGTCGCAAAAGTAAAAGAAAGAGCAAAATTTCTTCATCTTCTGAAGAGGAAGAGGACGAGTCTTCACAAATAGCAGCCATTTTGAAGGCGAACACGCATGCGTATTTTCCTCGTATTGCAAGCTGTTAGCTTTTCACGCGCGCACACATGGAGGAAACAGTCATGCATTCGTGCCAAAAATTATTCAACATGTTGAATAATCGGCGCTGATGGCGCGAGTGACGAAAAGGTGTCAAAACGGCACCGCACACTAGGGGAACTTGCTTACGCCAACAGTCACGAGTGAAACTTTGCGAAGGTGATAGCTCTAGTGTGCGCCAGGCTTTAGGCTTGTGCACTCTCGTTATAGTAAATTTTGTATGACAGCTCGCGACTGATTGTCCCGCTCATGTGAATAACACGTGAATGCGTGTTAGTAATAATCCCACATTGGTAATATAATACAATAGCATCACATCTTCATATCATGAATAAAATCTCTTTTGTGTTCGTGTGTTGGTTTCCTTCCTCCTTTTAAACCAGCCGTTGTCCAGTCCCAAGCCTGGAATGAGAAATCGGTGAGGGGAAGGAATATTATTGTATGTAGCTAAAGTGGAATTGATCATGGTAAGCATTAGTGATATGTTGTCCTGCTTGTAGCTTCTCATACTATTATAATATTATTATTGGAGCAAATCATGTTCAACAATATAGAAATCCTACAGAGTATTGTAGGCGTAGGTTCCTAATAACCAAAAGTACTTGGCGCGGATACCTACGTATTTTTAACTATACTTATTTCCTGCATTGTAAGAATGTTCATGACGACGATGAGATGAGTTGTGTGGCACTTGGACATTTGATATGTTAAGAATGTACATTCGCACTGATAGATACGTAAAATCGATCTCTCACATTCAGCTGATTAACGCTTTGGATGGACGTATGGCTTGGGTTGTGTGTGTGTTCCTTTCTCCTTTTAAACCGCCTCCTAGGGTCCCAAGGCCTAGGCACTCGTAATGAGTGAGCTGGTGAGGGAAAGGGACAAATTTACATTCTTAGGTTTTGAATATGCCCGTCAAGGGTAAGTATGGTAAACACGGAGAACATTTTTGCCTATATATATATATATATATATATATAATATATATATATATATATATATAATATATATATTATAATATATATATATAATATATATATATAATAAATATATATATAATATATATATATATATATATATAATATAATATATATTATATATATATAATTATATATAATATATATATATATATATACAGGGTGTATCAAAAAAAAGGTAATCCAACTTTGGTGCGCTATTGTACGTGAACTACTCATTCTATTAACGAATTTTTTTCACATTCCAAAAGTTTAGGCTTTTAACTATCGAATAACATGTTTTTGATACCAAATGGTGAAAAAATGAGCAAATAGGAGGCCGATAAAAAGTGTTAGTCAAAATCGCATATTTTCACCTCTGAGAGTTGGGACTAAAACCATTGAAAATTAACTCTCTTTGGGATTAATTGAAGAATTTTGCTTTTGAATAAACTAACCGCATATGCATATTAAGTAGGAATAAATCACATCAGGAGAACATTCCAAGCAATGCGGCATAAAACCAGTGTAAGCTGTGACATGTTCGTGATTAATTGCTCTTTTCTTTTGTTATGCACTGCTTTAATTAGGCTCAAAGGTGAAAATATGCGATTGCGACTAACATTTTTTATCAGCCTCGTATGTGCTCACTTTTTCACCATTTCGTATTAAAAACATGTCATCCGATAGTTAAAATCCTGATCTTTCCGAAAGTGAAAAAAATTCGTTCATAGACTGAGTAGTTCACGTACAATAGCGTGTTGAAGTTGGATTACCTTTTTTTTGATACACCCTGTATATAAATATATATACACCCGTTTGCAAAAACGTTGGCCGCATATAGATATATAGATAGATACCTGAAATCTAATTAGAATTGCATATGTTGTGTAATATGATTGAAATCCCATGCAAATGTATTCATATGCAATTCTAATTAGACTTCGAGTATCTATCTATCTATATATCTGCGGCCAACGTTTTTGCAAATGGGTGTATATATAATATTATAATATATATATATATAATATATGTATATATATATATTATATATATATATATATATATATATAATATATTATAAATATATAATATAATATATATATTATAATATATATATTATATATATATATATATATATAATATATAATTATATATATGTATATATGTATATATATATTTATATATAAATATATAATATATATATAATATATATATTATATATAATATATATTAATATATATATAATATATATATATTATTATATATATAGGACGAACCTGAACATGTTCGCCCGAAAAAACAAAGGAAAGCATGAAAATAAATATCGCACATCGAACAGATATTGCCCAAGAAAACACAGCAATGGTGTGCTTACATGGAGTGCCTGCGACCGCAATCTCTACGAATGGTTTGCAACAAGAACAACCCTAAATGCTGTGAATTCTTTTGCCCTGAACTAGGTCGATCGTTCGCTATTTGATACGGCTATGATGATGTGGAGGGCGAATGGCGCGATTCATATACCCACCAAAGACCGACCAGGATGAGAGTTGTGAAGGATTTAAGTAAAGGGGGAGACCATTTTTCTCGGGAACAGTCGGTTTTTACCGAAAGTATGCGCGGCCTCCACGCGAGATGATGTGCGCACAAGTGTGTTATTGCAACATACAACTTACACGTGGAATGACTTGCGTGGGAGGGCTGTGCCAGTGAGCTCCAAATATATAGTAAGAACTTTGGGTACAAAAAGTGAAGCCAAGGATGGCGGAGATGGAAGCGCTATTGTACGTCAGTTTCAGTCTCCTAACTCGCGCGGCCAAATATTTCTTATTGTTTTTGACCGGGAGTGACGTTCCCGAAACCCTCAGATTTTCGTGTTTTTCATCATTTTGCGAGCACAAGAATAGAAAAAATTATTTTTTTTACTGAGAATGTGTTTCTTTGCATCTACTCAATGTGAGTGCCGCATTTTCCGACTGTAAATGTGAGTAAATATGCATTTTTCGCCATAAATTCAACTACGCATTTCAGATTTTGTTTAATTTTGATTTATTTCCATATATTTCCACCTCATGTTTTCAGTTTCTTGTTTCGTTTTTTGTTTCGAAACGCTTTAACACTGGTTGTCCTTTAATTTTTGGCCAGCTTTCCTATCACAGAGCTCTTTTTAAGGTTTCTTTTATACGTGCATTATGAGTCTTGTTTATAAATTTCATATTCATATATTAGTAATATTTCAAACCCGTACGTTTTTCAGCATAATTTTCTTTCCTATTACTTTTTTACATGAATGAAAGCCTGATAAGGATGAATTGAACTCAGAAAAGTTTTACTAGTATTTATGTTGTTTTTGGGAAGCATATTCTGTAGTAAATGTTGTCAGTGATTTGCGAAAAGCCGAAAACATCAACAATCTGCCACTCCGTAGCTTTCTTAGTAAGATATCGCTTATTTCTTTGTTAATTTAATTGAAATATAAAAGTATCTCAGTATCAAACATTAGTATTATACCTTTCATTGAAATTCCCCTCATTTTTATTCAAAAATAGGAAAAAGAAAATGTTAAAAAATACGAATTTAGATGACCGCGCACATATAGGAAGACTGAGACTGACGTACTATATAATAATAATATAATAATAATAACTATATATAATAACTATATATAATAATAATCCGGCCGTTATTGGCTACATACACAACCTGTCACCTTTGAAAAAAGGTAAACTGAATGGTGCGACTTCGAACTCCAAATGCAAGACAAACGGGTACAACTATTAGCACTAGTTATTCTGCCAGCCATATCCATCATACCACTCGGATGACAAAGACAGAGCGGTAGTCACATGTACGCGCTGCGTACCTATTTTTTATATTTTCTAGCGCAATGAACATGACTTTAACTGTTTTACGTTGTACTGTCTCATTTCATTAATACTTTTCACCTGTCATATAATGTAGATTATGAAGGATAATCCTATCAGCAGGGATAGTCAGGTGGTGGATTCAGCAATAGTTCCCTAATTTGCATGACACAAGAAAACTTCTAAAAATAACCATTTTGTTTTGTAATGCAAACTAGTGCACAAGTGCTGGATCCACCCCTGACGGTAGTGGTATCGATTACCTCATTTGTTGGTATATTCTAAAAACGTTATTATTAAAATTCACTTGTTATATATTGTTGGCACTAATTATATGTAAAAGGTCGTCACATGAATGTGTACGTTAATTAATGCGTAAATAAAGCCAGTTTTCCACTAACGATATTTTTCGCGCGAAGCGAATTTATTCCTTTGTATTTGAGCAATAGAACTTTTCAGCTTGCATGCAAATTAACCGATTTCAGATGTTATGACCATGGAATAGCCAATAAAACTTAACCATTTCAGACCATGTGACTTGAAATGGGTTAATTTGCATACAAGCTGAAAATTTTTATTTTGTTGCAGATGGATGCAGTTGAGAGCACTGAAACAAAATTAAAATTAATGCCAGTGGAAAACCAGCTTGACGTTCGCTATGTCTTGAATGGCAGACGTCGTACGCACGACTTGAAAACCTGAAAGATACGTATGAAGCTCTCACACGTTTTTAATTATTTGTGGCGACCATCATTGATAGCCACCATCTTCGTGTTGCCGTCCTATATGACCTCTGATTTCTTAGCGTACCTATTTTTATGTATTTTAAAGAAATCATTGACTTTTAAAATTTTGTATCCTGTTTTGATAATTATTGCGAATAACATTTCATCCTGGTGAGATACTTTGCCACAAATTTTCACCAACTTATCTTTACAGTGAAATTTGCACACATAAAGGCGATTTTCCATTACCGTCCGCTTCACCCGCGCGGGTGAAGTGGCCTTTGAAAACCTGCCAAAGCGACCGTGACGGGCCTGAAAAACAAAGCGCGCTTCGCCCGCGCGGGCAGAGCGAACGTAATGGAGAATCGCCTTAAAGGCCGACCTACACGATGCGATTTGTCCTATACGATTCTTATCCTGAAGTATGAAAAACATTGGTGACGTGACTCTGTCTGTTCATCAGTTTATAACCAAATTTAAAATGTGACATCTTTACACACATGTATTCGAATAGCTACATACGCTCGTGTAGATCGGCCTTAAGAAAATATCATGTATCAATCCAATACACGCACTCAAAAACATGCAAACTTTTATTTCTATTTTTCCTGATTTTATGTCAATTACAAATTCTCATTACATCGCTTCGCTTGTCAGCGGGAAAAGTCACGTGTTTATATACAGTTATAGAAATACGCGTCTTGACCAATCAGAACGCGCGTACTATAAGTGTTAACTTCATTGACAATTGTAAATGCTTTCATAATGACATAAAGAATATAATCGATATGGAGGAGTGATAGACATAGCTATGCGTCAAAATAAAATACTAGGACAAAAGAATCAATATCAAGTGTCCAAAATTGTAAGATTCTCTCTCTTGCTCAAATTTTTCACTATTTTCTTAATCAGCCATTCTCTAATACTCATGCTATAATCCTAACTTTAAAGGTTCGTATATATCAGAGAAGTGGGGGCCCATAAGAACACTGGCGTTGGCCAGTGGCCTATTAGCTCCACCAGGGATGAAACCTTCCAATAAGTATAAGAAGTACAGATTACAGACTTGTACTGGCTTTGCGTTTCATCATATGAATGTTTTGAAAGCTAAAGGCTACAGACTATATTCATAGATTCGTTGAACGAAAAATTTTAAAAGTAAACGCATATTAGTTAATTAGTAACCATACATATATCATCTAAAAGTTCGGTAAAAATGCAACAAAATTGAGGGATTATCGACCCATACCTGGTGAAAATAGACGTTCAATGACTTTAATGAGAAAATTCATAGCGTATAACATTTTGCATAACTCGTTACTAGCAGGAACAAATGACCTAGTTGCCGTCCGCAAAAGCTGCGCATTGTTTCACAATGCTTTTTGTCTCATGTGAACCAATCTTTGATCGCCTATGTATGATCGAGTATGTTCCTTTTTCACTACCTTTATTCAAAAATATACCGTATCCCTTAGCTTTACCTTAGCGTACTATAACACTGAATGTAGCAACCAATACCAATGTAATATTTTATTTATTCTTATACTTAAGTCTTTTCGGTGTCATTAATTGATCACTACTGTGCAGAAAGAGTGCTCGAACTGTTTCTGCAAATGCTATAGCCCCCCCCCCTCTACGCTGGTATTCCCTGCATGTGCATTTCTCTAATTAATGTTCAGTATAGCATTTTTATATCTCTTCACTTTAGAATTCAAAGCCGATTGTAACGAATGTGTCCACTTCTGTGTCTTGAATTACCATTGTGAAATGTGTTTGGAAACATCTTGTGTTGAGGAGAAATGTGCTTGTAACGCTGTCTTTAAGGGGGTTAGCATTTGTTTGTTGCCTCTTTCGTTCGTAACAAGTCTAGTCGTCAGGAAAATCAATATTTTGAACACGATATTTTTGGGCGTTTTCAGTCTCAATCATAAGTTAATCAATCATACTATGAATTTCTTCCAGTGTAATAAAACGAGTGGTTGCAAAAGTGTCGTTTAATGGACAGAACAAAAGTTGTCTTGCAGATAAACCACCTTAAATACTCTTCTTTATACTCTTATGATATTAAAATTTGATATGAATGTAATCGTAGTGGTTCTAGTTTCATTAGTGGGAACTGTTAAATAAAATTCGCTTGATTACATTTTGTCTTCCTAAACTATTGTTAATGTTATATTTCTTTAAGTTAAACTAGTTCGGGACTATGATTTTTGATGCCGCGGACAGGGACGAAAAACTTCAGCACGAATTCCCCAATTTTTGCGCCGGATTGGGCGAGGATAGGTTATGAGAAACCGAACCCCCTCTTTGCTTTTGTTTCTTGCCTTTCTTCTTCCCTCCATCACTTGACTCTCTTGCCGCCTGGCGCCTGGTAACTTTTTGCACCAGCTGCACTTTTTTCAAGCTCCCTTTTTCCTTGCCTTCCCAGTGCACCTGCTCACTCAACCTTATCCTCTTACTCCTCCTTCTTGCTTCATCGCCCCCATCGCCAGCTCTCCTCTCAGAACCGTACATAATTATAGCGGAGTGTGGGGGTTTCGATATCATCCATCTGGAAAAGTGAATTTTTTATATATTTATTTAAAATAGCTTCAAATTTAAAATAAATTCAGTGCATAATATTCAAGTTGACTCATTCAAGAGAGACGTAAGAATGTTATTTAATTTTGACTTATCCACCGTTTAAGCAAAACGGGCTTGATACAACCGGGGCTTTTTTTTATAGTCAATTAAATAACACGTTCGTCGTGATTTGTTTGCTGATGACTTTTAAGGTGTCGTATATCAATATTTCTGAAAATTAGTTCCTCCCACTTGTGTCCACAATTTCACGCCTTTGCCAGTCTCTGCTCGGTTTTTACTCAGCATTATGCACCATTTTGTTATTCGCCATTGACGAGTTAAGGTGATTTGGATTTCAGTCTAACATTAGCACTCGATGGCATTAACATGCAGCGACATTCGCGATCGAGTGACTATGCTATCGAGTGACTCAAGTTGTGCGCACATTTTTATCATTACACAATTGGAAAAGCTAATTTTCTCAAACGATCACAAAATTTCTTCTCAACTGCACTGTGTTCAAAGCCTAAAGTCCGAAAATTTTTGAGGGGCTGAAGCAAACAAATGGGTACCCTCAAAGACATTTGTCTCGGAGTTGAACCTGAAAGGATTGTTTCTCTCTCATTAAAGTTCCGACAGTTTTTGTTAGAAAGTTCAAAGATTTAATATATTTTTTTAATATATTTTAGGAATCAATAATTTTCTTTCGCGAAGAGAAACGACAAAAAAATAATGTGAAAGCATTATTCATAAAATATGAGAACAATGCAGTAGAGCAATAGAGTAAGACAATTGGACGGATTTGTTTGCCCAGGGTACAACCCAGCTTTTATAGATCCCATGTTTTCAATCTTTACACTAGAAATACCATAGGTAGCCCAAGAATCAGGTTTTTGATGAAACAAGACACTCTTGCCAGTCTAAATATACACTAGCGGTCAAAAAGAACTGCTCAAATGTTGCTATTATCGTATGTAACAGGAATCGTGACAATCTATCTTTAATAGTACGCTAGCGGTCAAAAAGAACTGTTTAGATACAAATTCATAAAAAAGAAGCGAATATAGCAGAGAGCTTCTTAAGCATTTTGGATAATTCTCTTATTCCAAGCAATATTTCAATAATGTAATGCAGCCTGCCACACCTCCAAGATAGTCAAACAATGGTTTCATGCATGAGAAGAGGGAGTTACAGAAATGGATTGGCGTGCACACTCAAAAGATCTTAACCATATTGAAAATCCGTGGAACAATGTGAAGCGGATAGTTCAAGAAAGGAATTAATTCACAACGCGTCTATGATTTATGGGTTTCTGTAAGACTGTCCATATAGATGAATTTCTTTTGACCGTGAAGATTACCACCTTAACAGAAAGTATGCCACGCCGGTGTAAGGCCGTCTTCAATTATAAGGCCGAAGGGGGATCAACAAAATATAAATATTTCATATAGCTTAGCGTGTAATCTAGTCTATATTTACTCGTATAATTATATTGTTAGAGGGACAGTTACGCTTATTTTAGAGCATTTTAACTTCTTTTGAGCAGTTCTTTTTGACTGCCAGTGAATTTTGACCGCGCGCTGCATCACGTACGTCACTCGGGTAACGTATATAGTATATAATTACCTAAGGTTGGCAAGAATATTTTATTTTCAATATACATCGTTTAAAAATAATCAAATTATCAACATCTATTCAATAAAATACGCCAAAAAATAACAGCCCCTAAGTGTGGGGTAATTTTATTAAATTTGTACGTCGTTTTTTGGCAATGAAACGCGATTATCAATATAATAGCTGATGTTTCACATTTTTCACATTTACTTCCTAATCTCTGGGCGGAATTAGTACCCTCGCACGGCGCTCCGCGCCGGCTCGGGGACAAAGTAATTTTACATATGTTTTGATCAGGAAAGCATCAGAGACTCGCTGCATTGTAGATAATAAAATTCTAACCTTCCGTAGTTTACTACAAAACAACGCTAAAATTACATGCGTGAGATTCAATAGATCGATATAAACGTAGAAATTAGACAAATAAAAAGCCAAGTGTAACAACTGCCCCCAAAACACGATATGCAAATATAAAACTTCAAAACTGCTAAAAAAATAAAATCAAGCTAATTTTAAAATAAATAACTATTGTCCCCAGTTCACTTACTAGAAATGTAAAGTGTGTCTACCTCGTGTTCCGCAAGCACAGATGACCGTTTCCTATACACTCAGCTTGACTGATTTTGCAGCTCAGTAAATACCCCTGTGTCTATATACCCTTTGGCGGCTTATTATTTTGCCGGATAAATACCGATATTACTACGTAACTATATTCTAGTCACGTAACAAATGTTTTAGAATTGAAGGCAAAATACCGATGCAAAGCAATGCAAAGAGTTCTTGGAGAGGTTTTTGTGAGATGCCATGGGTACCACAACAATACCCCGTGAAATTTATTAGTCTATCAATCTTGGCCCTTGGTGGTTTTGATAAGGACTCGTTAGACCGGGAGCCCAGAGGGTCGAGCCTAGCTGGAAAGCAAACCAATTTTAATGCACATAGTGATGTTCTACATGCGTACGACTATACGAAAATGAACGTCTGCCGGGGATAGGCTGGTGGGCGTGGTTAGGATGGGCACGTGTAAGATGCGAGAAAATCAGCTAGATCAGCTGTGAGATAACCGAAAAAAATATTTGCCAAAATGTTCAGCATAACTCTTGTAGTTACAAATGTCCACTGCCAGACATATTGGGTGGTGGGTTGGCCCCGCCAGACAGCCTCGAAGGCCCACTCACCAAATTTGTCTAGATCAGCTGTGAGATAACCAAATAAAATATTTGCCAAAATTTTCAGCATAACTCTTGTAGTTACAAATGTCCACTGCCAGACACATTGGGTGGTGGGTTGCCCCCCCCCCCCCAGACAGCCTCGAAAGCCCACTCCCGAAATTTGTCTAGATCAGCTGTGAGATAACCAAATGAAATATTTTGCATGATGTTCGGTATAACTCCATTAGTTCCAAATTGCCACTGCCAGACATTTCGAGTGGTGGATTGACCTCGCCAGACAGCCTCGAATTCCCTCACCTCTAGAAAATTGTTCATGATCATCTATTTCTAGATAATCAGCAAATTATATACTTGGAAATATATATATATAATAGTTACCAAAGACTATTGTCAGACATTTCTGGTGGTGAATTGTTTTTAACCCAAAAATTTGAATATAACTCATCACAGTTAATAGAAATGAACTTATTTAAGCCTAGACTGTACACAATCGGCCTGAAAAGCAACAGTACAAAATATTTGCAGTCCATTTCTGTCCGACATTACCAATTGTAATCTACACTGCGTCCAAGAATTATATGCAAAATAGTTTTTCCGCTACATTTCATTTGGTTTTTAAAAGAGGATTATGAAATTTCGTATATATTATGAAAACACTGTAACATGCCCACAACTGAAGCTTTTGGCTGATCTGAGCAGTGGTAAACAAACAGGGGCCATTTATGCTTTAAATAGAGATCTTGGGCGTCCATTTTTATATGCATATTACACTTATACTGCTATTTAGCGAATTGATACAATTGAAAAAATTTTTAAAATGAGACAATATCGTCTATCTAGGTAATTTTAATCAATATATTCTCACACACATTTGATAAATAATAAATTATATAATGATATACCAAAAATAGAAGATTAATATTATTCATTAATGTTTAATTTATCATCCATGATTTGATTTGACTAAAAGTAGCCTTCGATCCATCAATGCGATCAGTTTCCTGTTGCATCAGGTGAAATACCTCTAGCAGTAGTTTTAATTGCATTCCAAAGATCTTCTGTTGACGAGTACTGTCTTCCACCGGCATATACCTCTCTTTTTTCCACAAGTTCTGAATTGGGTTGAGATCCGGAGAGCGTGCTGGTCATTGCATAATTTCACCTTTTTTAACAAGAACTTTACTAAGAAAGCCTGTTGTCAAGTGTGCAGCATGGGAAGGAGCATTGTCCTGCATAAAAACCATATTTCCTCCGAAATGACAAATTTTCTTCTTATACCATGGCAAAAAATGCTCCTTTAGGAAAGCTATGTATTTCGGGGCGGTTTTAACCCCATCCTCGACTCTAAATGGGCCGACAAGTTCATCATTGATGATCGCAGCCCAGAAGATAACTCGCCTTGTTGATGCCTGAAACACTGGAGGTAATCCTTTCATATCACACCATCCTCTTCTCCAGCCATCGGGTCCATCAAGGGTTGCTCGGGACTCGTCAGTAAATAACACCAACTCAAAGTTCTGTTTCACATATTTTTTCACCAACTCAAAGTTCTGTTTCACAGATTTTTTCGTCCACTCGAGTCTCTTTTCTCAATGAACTTTCCTTAAAAGAGGTCGCACCAAGGGTGTCTTACATTTTGCATTACGCTTTAGAATGGAACATCGGCTGCTTTAAGAAACGTTACACATACCATTTGCTTCGAAGACCTGCTTGGAGGTCTGTCGAGGATTACGGTGGACTTCGCGTTTAAGTGAACTGACTCCCCGACGAGACACACCTGACTTTTCCTGAATCTTCCCCTTGTCTGCTCTTCCATTGCAGGATTGTGGATTTGTAGCATATTTTTTAATTTTACGATGGTCGCGTTGAAGCATTTTGGCGATTTGAAGGGTGGGTTGCTTCTGCTGTAGTGCTTGAATAATTTTGGTCTTTTCAACTCCGCAGCCTATCTTGCATATAAAAATGGACGCCCAAGATCTCTATTTAAAGCATGGCCGCTGTTTGTTTACCACTGCTCAGATCAGCCAAAAGCTTCAGTTGTGGGCATGTTACAGTGTTTTCATAATATATACGAAATTTCATAATCCTCTTTTAAAAACCAAATGAAATGTAGCGGAAAAACTATTTTGCATATAATTCTTGGACGCAGTGTAGATTACAATTGGTAATGTCGGACAGAAATGGACTGCAAATATTTTGTACTGTTGCTTTTCAGGCCGATTGTGTACAGTCTAGGCTTAAATAAGTTCATTTCTATTAACTGTGATGAGTTATATTCAAATTTTTGGGTTAAAAACAATTCACCACCAGAAATGTCTGACAATAGTCTTTGGTAACTATTATATATATATATTTCCAAGTATATAATTTGCTGATTATCTAGAAATAGATGAATGACAATTTCTAGAGGTGAGGGAATTCGAGGCTGTCTGGCGAGGTCAATCCACCACTCGAAATGTCTGGCAGTGGCAATTTGGAACTAATGGAGTTATACCGAACATCATGCAAAATATTTCATTTGGTTATCTCACAGCTGATCTAGACAAATTTCGGGAGTGGGCTTTCGAGGCTGTCTGGGGGGGGGGGGCAACCCACCACCCAATGTGTCTGGCAGTGGACATTTGTAACTACAAGAGTTATGCTGAAAATTTTGGCAAATATTTTATTTGGTTATCTCACAGCTGATCTAGACAAATTTGGTGAGTGGGCCTTCGAGGCTGTCTGGCGGGGCCAACCCACCACCCAATATGTCTGGCAGTGGACATTTGTAACTACAAGAGTTATACTGAACATTTTGGCAAATATTTTTTTCGGTTATCTCACAGCTGATCTAGCTGATTTTCTCGCATCTTACACGTGCCCATCCTAACCACGCCCACCAGCCTATCCCCGGCAGACGTTCATTTTCGTATAGTCGTACGCATGTAGAACATCACTATGTGCATTAAAATTGGTTTGCTTTCCAGCTAGGCTCGACCCTCTGGGCTCCCGGTCTATATTTTCTATAATTACATCACGAACATGAAAACTTTGCTTTCAATGGTCACGAATGGAAGAATTTGATGAAGAATATATTGGCAGAGAAGAGAAAATAGTAAACGAGTATTCGGTTACCATATTAGATGACATGACGGGCCCATAATCGAGAGACTTCAGATATATCTTCATATCCTCTGAGGAAGAGATGGCATGAGAAGCTCCTGCCCTCAAATACGGAATTATGTTCCTCTTAAGGTTCTTTGCTATCATCTTAAAAATTACATGAGAATGAAAATTAACAATCATATAGTTCAAAATGACATGCCCATGTCTGGAAATCTTAAGACCTTCAGTTCTTTCTTTGATAAACATCTTTCGAACATGTCCATATCATTGTAAATCTCCCTAAAGATTGAAGAGGTAAAAATTTATTAGCAGTGAAGAACCTAGTAACAGATTTCCCTAGAAGGATGAAAAAACTGCCCATAATTCGGTATACAGTATAACGTACGCATTTTTTACCCATATAATACCTCATCTCCGAGTCTACGCAGCGCGCATAATAATAAACGTTAGTAAAATATTGCGCAATTGATCCAAAACACTGAGCTATATAATAATTCCTTGAGGACCGGCTCCTGGCCAGAAAGTGAAGCAAAAAACATGGCGGATTTCGGCGTTTGCTGACGCCACATGGTCCCCTTTGCCCATGGTAATTACCACTGACATACCGCGATACAAAGTCAAAAACGTGTCCATCACCCTCCCGATTTTTATGAAAATATTTTCGGTTTTCGGTATTGTTTTCGGCATATATTTTCTCCGCATTTCATCTAAAGTCTCTTTTTCACTGTTCAACAAGTTATATGGAGAAGTGGTTTCTTGCTCTACTTATGATGCTGTGAATGGCCTAATTCATCTATCGGGATATTAATTTTTACCTCAGGTAAGCCGGTTTTCACAACATTTTCGTTTTTCGCCTTTGGTATAGACTATAGACAACTACCAAAGCGTCTGTTGCAGTAATTCCTTTGAAATTAATGTTAAAAACGGCAAATATGCCTTTTTGATCAATGGTACATGACTTAGTTACGCTATGAAAAACTATATTTTATGAAAAAGGATCAATAACTGATGTTTTAAGTTAGGCTATGTTGTTTTTTTTATTAGAACTCTTATGGGATTTGAAAATGTCAGGCACTGGAGCAGGGGCGGCGGAATATAATACATTTTGGAGGGGCTGATTTAACGAGGCGCCACCATGGTTGGCGCCGAGGGAATTTTTTTTGGAATTTCAGTGCTCTAGATCTTCGGAAATGGCCATTTCAGAGCCTACTTGCCGCTTTTATCGTAGTTTTTCATGGGCAAACACAAACTGAAAACGGCACAGCGCGTGTAGTGATATCTTCTACATTTGAAAAAGCATCTCTCATTCTTCATTCTGGCAGTCTTCATGAAATTTTTGGGGGGGCTAAGCCCCCCTAGCCCCCCCTGTTCCGCCGCCCCTGCACTGGAGCTTTCACTCATATTTAATGCCAACTAATGAGTATTTTCATTCAAACAATTAAGATAAATCAATATTCAATCCTCCCAGTAAATCTACTAGTCTCTCTATTGATCCTTAGTCTATTTTAGATGAATTTAAAAGATTAAACATGATGACTGTGTGAGTGCTGATACAAAATATTTCACTGTTAGATTTCAACAGTGTTTGTTAAAAGTCCAGTATGTTATCTTGTTTGCCAAGTCATGGCTTAATAGACTTTCTTGGCATCTTGCACCTTGTTAATCAAGCTACAAGCTTGATTCAAGCTTGTTAATTTGCAATGATTTCTACTCATCTCTGGTTCTGTCCTCTGGGTGTACTCTGTTGAGAACAGTTAAACTTGGTCTGATCTCTCTTTTTTAGGATAAAGAGGTTATGGAATTTGGGGATGGCTTTTTGCAAATTATTGGAACATTAAACTGTTAATTTTACCATGTTGACTTTGTTAGTTATAGTTACAATAGTTATCTAAATGAAAAATAAATTTATACAGACTTGCATTGACTGAGCAGTTTGTTTTCAATTTGCTGCAACTTTTATAATTTTCTGGACAGTTTTACCCTCCCTACCATTACAAGGAATATTATCATAGGGTTAATCAGGAATTGAAGGTTAATAGATTATAGACTAATGGAGGAATGAATAGGCTCAGTTGCATTTTCATTAATTCATAAGACATTTGTTGATAGCACAACTGGTACCATAATCTTCTTGGTACCATATATAATCAAATTTTTGTTGTTTACTATAGCCTTTCTTTGCATTATCTGGAATATGAGTCCACTCAAATTCTTGAGTCAAGCAGGGAACCATTTGAAAGTGCATTACTTGGGATACAGTAATAAGATATGGGTAACTTATAGCTATAATGACCTAAATGAAAATATCCTATGCGAATATATCTTGAAATACTATTACTAATCAGCCCCCCAGCATTTTGCATGAGGTTTGGCCTTTGTTCCCTTGAGTTATGCATGGGCTGATATGCATAAGCATGATGTTCTAAGGAAAACATCACATAATCACATATTCTCTGCCGGTAACCTTTAGTCGGCGATTGATATCCGAAAGATAATCGAAATTTCCGACAAGACTCGAAAAATATTCAAGTATTTTAAAAATTTTACACAGAAAATATGTATGAATAATGAAAATATAATATATAAATAAAATAACCTGTCAGCTAATCGTATAAAAATCCTTCGTCCACAATTTTTTTTGCGTTTTAATATTTATTATTTCTGGCATTGGCAAAACAGCGTCAACGACTTGTATATAACTGAAATAAACGCCTTATTGCAAGCCTTTGTAGCAGAAAAATAAATCGAAAAATACAAAACAACAAGGTTTCACTGCAAAAACAAAAATATTCATACAAAACCAGGGGGGAACATTCTCTTGTAGCGGGCTCATATTTGAGCCTGGTCAGTGGTAATTACCATGGGCAAAGGGGACCATGTGGCGTCAGCAAAGCTTCTGCGCAAGCGCAGAAGGGCGAAGTCCGCCATGTTTCTTGCTTCACTTTTTGAGAAAAAACATTAGGAGCCGGTCCTCCAGGAATTATTATATAGCTCAGTGATCCAAAACAACTCAAAAATGACGAGCTTTAATTAACTCCAATCGCCGTAAAAATATATTCAAAACACGACCCATAACCTATATTTTAATATTCCAATGGAAACTCATGAGTAGCTGGCATGCAGAAACGGCAAGAAGCAAAAAACTACCAAATTTCCTCTTATATTGCGACAAATTTAGAGAAATATGACTCCGCGTAATACGAGTAGACTTTTTGTTCAGCAAAAAGCAAAGTGTAACAACTGCTTCCAAAACACGTTATGCAAATATAAAACTTCAAAAATGCTAAAAAAAATAAAATCAAGCTAATTTTAAAATAAATAATTATTGTCCCCAGTTCACTTACTAGAAATGTAAAGTGTGTCTACCTCGTGTTCCGCAAGCACAGTCTGCACAGATGACCGTTTCCTATACACTCAGCTTGACTGATTTTGCAGCTCAGTAAATGCTCTTGTGTCTATATACCCTTTGGCGGCTTATTATTTTGCCTTCAATTCTAAAACATTTGTTACGTAACTAGAATATAGTTACGTAAAAATATCGGTATTTATCCGGCAAAATATCAAACATACAAGTGCACAATGCAAAGAGTTCTTGGAGAGGTTTTTGTAAGATGCCATGGGTACCACAACAATACCCCGTGAAATTTATTAGTCTATCAATCTTGGCCCTTAGTGGTTTTGATAAGGACTCGTGTGCTTTCAAAGACATGCTCTAGGATATTACGTAAACAAGAAACCTGTGAAATACTTGATCTGGAAGATTACATTAATCTAGATCAAGACCTGGTTTTATAAACATCTAAATTGAGATTTATCCTCATTAAATTGTGTGGCGGTGCCCACCGCTTAAATGGAGGAGGAATATATCAATATATTATTGTTTACATATCATAGGAACAGTAGCGTATACAAATAATTTATAGAAATATTTCTAATTGTGAAAATAATTTAACACATATAGCAACAACATGTAGTATTTTTGTTTTGCTAAGTTACTAAGTGTTATTGGGAATATTATAATCTTTAAATAGAAGCGGATACTCTAGTCGCATGCTTGAATTGGCATGCACTCCTAGACGAAGTTCGAACTGTTCACTTGTCAAAACACTCAAAAGTTGATATAGCATTGACATATAAGCGAATATATGTACATTGCCACAATGAAATTAGAAGTATCAGGGCTTTATACATTTTCTATAGTATATTTCACAACTTTTTAGTGGGCCTTTATTGTAATACACACTTTCATAACTCAGCGGTTTATTAGAATTTATTATTTCCCACTCTATACTCATATTTTATAATGCACACTACACATTTTCACGTTTTATTTAAACGTTTTCACGGCTCTACCAAAACGTTTTTACGGCCAAAGCAAGACCCAAACGGGCCTAATAAAATACCTGGCCCACGAAAAAATGAGCCATTTATTTTTGTGGGTAGCCGCTGCGCATGCCCGGCTAACCACTATGTCAGAGTCGAAAGTGTCCGCGTAGCATGGAGGGATGTTCGGCACTCGTCGGTAATCACTCGGACAAATTGGCGCTGAAGGAAACACTCGAAACATTTCCGACGTTTAGTCAGATTTTATTCGAAGGGCTGCTTTGAGTTTTGGCAAATTTCTGTATAAAAGTCAAGGTAAAATCAACGTTGCATTATTTGTGTCAATTTTTGTCATTTCAATCGCTCATTTGTCCACTGCCGAGCAATTTTGATCACAACCAGATTATACAAGCATACAAATCTTTAATACTGCGTGGCTTGTTTGCAAGTTTCATTGATAATATCTTATCACTGTGGTATTCAGTCCTACAATCAGTCAACATTGAATGCCATCATTCATCATTGATATAAACGTGTATTGCTTCAGTAGTAGTTACCAGGAAGGTATGTCCTAGGACCTAGATTTTCCTCCACATTATTTGAAAGCAATGAATTTGAATGGCACATTATTTGAATGGTACATAAACATTGTGATAGTATATAATTTGAACATACCATAAGCACATGTGATTCACTGTTCTTTTGACTCTTAATCAATTGCTTCTTGAAATATGGCAAGCAAAAACCTTGCCATTGTGCAGGTATTGAAGTTAGACCTTGCCATTGTGCAGGTATTGAAATTGAAACCAGCCATTGTGCAGGTATTGAAATTGAACCAGCCATTGTGAAGGTATTGAAATTGAAACCAGCCATCGTGCAGGTATTGAAACTGAAACCAGCCATTCTGCAGGTATTGAAATTGAAACCAGCCATTGTGAAGGTATTGAAATTGAAAACAGCCATTGTGCAGGTATAAATAAAACGGCAGCCATTCTGCTGATATATTCAAACAAAATATTAAGTTTAAGGCTACAAATATTTGCATCATTTTTGAAGTTCATCGCTCCAGGATTGGTTCACACCACAATTTTCTAGACTGTCGAAACAGTTTCTGCGGTCTGAAAGGCAAGCTTTGGTATTAAATACTATTAATGTTTTATATTAATGTATTTTGCTTGTCATATCTTAACGGTATCCAGTGCAGTGATGATGATGACGACGATGATGATATGTTCTAAGTATCTTGAACCAGTTATCTCGTTGGAAAGAAAACTCATACCAAAAGAACCCAGTCAGACTATATTGTCTCCTTTACCAAGCCGTCTACCCTTAAGTACACGGTTAAAACGACAAGAGAACAGTTTACAAGCCACGAGACAGTCATCATAAAGTATACAAAGAATATTTAAAAAATCAATTTTTAAAATGAACAGTCCTCGTGGTATTGAAAGAAATATTCTCAATGTTGTAACATGTGTAATTTGAGTAATAAATATAAATATTTATATAATAAAATATATATAAAATATTTTTTAAATCGTTCGGTTCGCTCCGATTATCCATATGACCGCTTGACGGAATTCCTATGGGTAATCTGTCTTCCTTGATGATGGATGGCTTCTTGATAGTGGTCGATTACTAAGTTCGCCAAGTGGAAATCTTTAGGGCGATAGCTGGATGTTTTTCTTCGAATAGTTGTTCTGCGTGACGTAGGCGACCACTAAATCGAAGTACTCTATTGCTGTTATGTGGATAAAGGGATCGAGACTGTAATAGGCTTGATTTCTTTAACGACTTCGATTGTTGTATAATTCTGATCTCGGCAGTTAAGGCGTCCATTTGTGCAGTCTTAATCATCAGATTTTCAGCCTGTTTTAATTCCATTACATATAGGTTTGTCAAAGGATGCATTAGGGTTGGAGGATTCGGTGAATTATTGGGGGTATGACTTCCTCCTCGCTGTTGCGCTTTGAATTGCTTAATTTTAGCCATCAGGCTAGCTAGAGCTCTGCGAAGTCTAGACCATATTGAAAAACGACTAAATTTTTTTTACCGCAGGCATTTTACTAGTTGAACTGTTGAACCTCAGAGGAATAGGACTGTGAATCCTCCTACGTCGATCGATTGAAAAAGCTTAATCTAATCCCTCTTTCCTATTGGCATGAAATGAAAGATATCGTCTTCTTCTACACATGGAAATCCGGGTTGTTCGAAGTTGATATCAACCAGTTCATTGCACAGTCTCTCCATCATTCCACTCGCTCGAGCTCCGGCAATCTGCTTCGTCCAAATCTGTGGAAAGCTTCTCTATTCAGAAACTCGTACTTTAACAAAATTATATTTTTATGCAATAATTTGACCTCAGAGATCAAATCATCCTCTACAGTTCCCATATTGAAATCTAAACTATATATTTATTATTCGAACAAACTGATCAATATCGTTCTTTAGGGTCAAACTGTTGTTCGTAAATGCATTTCCTATATAACTTTGTTTGTAACTTTATATGTATATGTATGTTAATATCGTAATAACTGTAGTAAATATGTAATAATGTCAATGTAATTTTTGGTGGGACTTAAATAGGAACTAACGTTCTGTTGTCGTTACCATCATTCATACGATTGTTAAGTTAATAGAATTAAAAAAAATAAAAAAAGTAGTTCGACAAATTAGGGCAAACCTCGGGGTTATTTTTAAAGTGACTGCAGAAAAAATACGGAAAATACGGACCGTACAGGAATATTTATATCCGAAATACCAAAGACAATATCTTAAACAAAATTTCTTGGTATATTACACGTCAATTCATCAACAATCCCAATTGAAATGTTCGTATGAATGTGATCCATTTTACGACGTTTTATAGGAAAACTCGAGGGCCATTATTTATAAATGAATTAAATGCAAATTAGCGCACAGGCTACAGCCGTTCTTGTCACCAATTCCTGGTAATGCGTAAGATTTTTTGCTTAATTAATAACAAACACTTATTAAACAAATGAATAGCAACAGACCACGAGTCTGCATTAATTTAAAGGAAGATAAATATTGACTATAGTATTCAATGATTATAGTATTATATAAACATTGAGAATTTCCCTGTTGTCAATATCACTCAAATCACTATATCGGAATGCTTCGTTATCCTTACTTTATCTTTACTTTACTACATAATTTATCCAAGTTATTCCTTGCAGCTACGTGCAGGTAAAATATGCTTGTTGTGTTAATGCTCAACTTACACTAAAATACCTACTTTTTATTCCAGAAAAATCAAAAACGAATAAATTGTAGTAAAAAAGGGTGGTTTTTGAATGTCGAATATTATTACCGAGTATTATTGTTCAGTTCTGCGGCCTCTTTACCTACATTCCAAACATAATAATATTGGAAAAAATGTTTCCTTATCCCCATGTATGGCCAAAGTCACAGATGTTATTCTACACTGAAACAACAAACTTTAAATTCGCGTATATATAGACCAGAGAAACGGGTAAAAATACTGCTTCTGGACAACGAGCTAACGCGTTTCGAACCATGCAACAATTAAAATCACAACATCGACATTCCAAACGAGATTGGATGGGGTTGTTAATATCGTGAGAAGTTTTTAATGAGGTCATATAATACTCTTGAATGACTGTGTCAAAGACCACAGGTGACGGTAAGGTATTGATTAATTGAGAAGAATAGATATTATGTGGGAAATTAATCTGATTAAATGATCACTTCATATTCTTTTAATTATTTCAAGAATTTTTGTAGCTCCAATATCAGCCTGTCATGATCAGGATGCTCTTCATTCTATTTTCCCTTTTTTGAAGATTCAAAATACATTACTATATAGCTGCATGCATTGCCACTAAACAAAACATTCCTTGATATTATGATATGGTAATATAAGAACAAATCCCATACACCAGTATTAAAGAGCTGAATAAATGCTAAATTGCATGGTACCAGAAATTTAAAAGTTGTTTTTAGATTTTTTTCAAGAGAGAGAAAGTACCCAAATTGGGGGCAAAATTTTATATATTCATGTTCAGCATTTTTCGTTTCCTTTGTAATTGATTGTTTTTACGGTTTCCTAACTAATATTTTAAGGGTTCTCGACTTCTCACCAACTGAGATCTAATATTCTTTACACTGAACTCGAAATATTGAATGAATTGTTTTCTTCTCACTTGGTAACCCTGAGTGGGTGTTTTCTGTGTAATTATGTAATCTTGCACTTTGGGCTAGAACATTTTCGAAGAGAATGTTCGAATATGGGCAATGAGAAACCTATATATTCCTTGCCAAACCGTTTCGATCAACAAAGTAACTGTACACGACATCATATTGAAATCTTCATCAAAGTTGGTATTTTTCAAATATGAATTCGCTGTTGTTTCTTGTGCTTCTTATTTCTGTCACTCATGCAACAGGTATGCTAAAATATTAAATTGCATAATTCCTGAACTTCTACAGAGCAGATTCAGAACAGCTTATATTACTCGACACGTCAATTTTAGGTTTAATGAAAGGCGCATCAAATCATCCACCCTTGCTTAGAAGAGCGGGAATGAGTATGTTTCTTTTTTATTAACTATATATTTAAATATACCATATTCCTCGTGTTACGTATTCAGTCCTAAGACGAAAGTTTCATTCTTTATCAGTTCATTGTTATAGCACTTATGGTCTGATGGACTGTCGATTGAGGCTAATTAGAGGAAACTGATAATGCCAGTACTTACTGCTTTGCAATATTTAAAAATTCAGTGTAAGTTTTTGTTTCAATGCAGTACGTGCTAGCAGCACTGTTTAACTGTATCCTGATTGAGGTAATGCCCCTAGTGTTTCACTTTAAGTCGTCTTCGATGTCATTAGATCATTGCGGTACTGTTAGTCTGACTGATTGCTCTCACTGCTTCTGGTGATACTAGCCTGACTTGTTTAGTAATAGGGCCCGTCCCTTTCTTTTAATCTTATACTATTTTTTATATCTCCTTGCTGAAGATTTCGAAGCACTTTGTAAAGGTTGTGTCAATTTATGTTTCTCGAAATACCATTGTGAAATGTGTTGGAAAACATCTTGTGTTCAGGGGGATTGTACTTGTAAAGCTATCTTTCAAGGGGTATAGTATTTGTTTGCGATCTGTTTTATTCGTAAGAATTTTGAGAGTATCATACGAGTTGGCGTGCTACCCACGGCTTGCTAATGAAATTGAAAGAAAACGCTCCTTCATTACTCATTAGATTTTTGAACTTTTTGGGGAGTCTTACGGATTAAGTCATGTTAAACAATCAATTATGAATTTCTTGCAGTGTCGTGTAACGAGTGGTTGTCGAAGTGTGGCTTAACGGGCATAGCTAAAGCTATTGATGCAATTGCTGAATATATAAAACGAGGTCTCCCAGACAAAATAATTATATATTTATTTGTCTTTATGCTCTTGTTATAGCTTTGATTGCATAAATAAACGAGATTTATTAATCACATTTTGTCTCACAAATTAGTATAAATATTATTCCTTTCCTAATAAAGGTCCGACTTCACCCGGATAGTGAACTGCATCTACTCGACTAGGGGAAACATAAACTGATTCGAGGCAACCTCGCATCCTGTCTCTTTCTTCTTTTACGTCATGCTTTGTGCTTTCAATTTCCGCCATCCTTCATTCGCTGCCCTTCTTTTTCCTTTCCCAGCACACCTCCTGCGCACTCCTTAAGCTGTTCGCCCTCTTCTCAAGCCTTATGGTTCATCACCT